ATCTGTCAGTTTACCAGAGTAAAATTCCCAAACGTTTCAAATCATTCACTCTGGGGTGACATCTGTTGTGGTTCTGACTGTTCTGCGGCATCCAGGTCGCAGACAGATGTCACACCGGCTTTCTGGCAGGGTTTGTTGCCTTCAGCAGTGAAAAAACCCGTCAGTGCTGCTCTGTCCTGCTGTGTCAATGGGTGGGCAACTCATGCTGTTCATGCTAGTCCCCTTTTCTGAGCCTTGTGAACATGTTCAAATCAACACACACAGGACAGAAGAGCTTTACTTTTGGGATTGGGCAACCACTCGCTACAAGATGCGATGGTGAGCCATGATCCAATACTTGTACTCATCACAGCAGACTGGCAGCCTGTGGTCGGAGCTGGGAAGCACTGAGTAGAAATTTATGGAGATGTAGGCTCTGCTCTGGAAAGCATATACCTTAATAGACAAGGATTAAGGTAAGGGGACAGGGAAGAATATAACAGCCTTGCCCCTGTCACATGGCATGAAAAAGACATTGCATAGACAAATGCTCATGGAGAGCACTGGGAAGCAAAGGGGCTACTGTCCCTTGTCCCTCCCTCCTTTTTCTCCCAGGTCATTCACCCACCACCTGAACATTTAAATGATTTGGCAGGAAACAAAAGGCCTTTTAATGCTATGAAGTTGAGTTATTTGAGTCCCCTTTGTCTATTGAATCAAATATAAGCTGCCTCATTGTCTACCTAAAAGGCTTTTCCAGTTCTCCTCATATTTCATTTACCACTGAGATGTTGAACCCCAGATGCCATTTTCAAGCTGTTATGTTTTCAGGCAAGCCCCTTGGTACTTTCTCTCACTCTGCCTCTCTGACTTAGATGAGCTCTTTGCATATCTGTCATGATGCCTGTGAGAACAGTTCACATGTAATAAGCTGCTGGTACCATAGAGGGGTATATACATGGTGTGATAGCCAGTACTGCTGCATTGATGTGTCTCTCCTGGGTCTTCTGTATTTCACCTGGAATCTCTGTGGGGTAAAGGCCATGTGAAGCCATGCACTGGACAGATGTCATAAACCCAAAAACATAGCTGAGGAGAAACTGAACACTTTTAATGCTCATTCTTCCACGCTTAATTCATTGTGTTTATGAATCATGTTTGTGTGATAACAATTGTGTTTCTGAATCCTATTTATGTAATAATGAAGACAGTTGCTAAAATATTAATAGAGTACATCTATACTTAATGTTTCATAAGATCTATATTTAAGAGCTGCTGCAACTAACTAAAGGGGTTGTTTAAGCTAAACCACAGAATCACGAAGGTTGGAAGTGAGCTCTGGATATTGTCTAGTCCAACTCCCCTGCCCAAGCAGGGTCGGCTGGAGCAGATTGCCCAGGACCACGTCCAGCTGGGTTTTGTATATCTTCACAGCTGGAGAATACACAACCTGTCTGGGCAACCTGTTTCAGTGTTTGACTACCACTTAATATCCACATTTAAGAACAAAAAGGAGGATCTGGAGAACTTAACATTCACATTTAGGGGCAAAAAGGAAAGTCCACAGAACTACAAGCCAGTCAGCCTCACCTCCATCCCCGAGAAGAGATGTTCCATCCTTCCAAGGAATGCTCCATCACTTCGAGGCAACTAGTCCTGGAAACTATTTACCAGACCCATCAAGGACATGAAGATGATCAGGCGTAGTCAGCATGGATTTATGATTTCCCTGTTAAATGGGATGGGCCTAGGTCACAAACCCCACAGAAGTGTTAAGATATCTCCTTTTCTGCATTTCATATAATTTGGAGGTCAATAAATCAAAAGAGCCAACAGTGTCAGTTTAAGAGTGTATCATCAAATAATGCTTTTCCCTGTATGGAATGGAAAAGCAAGGTTAGACAGCCTAATGAGATTTAATACATTTACACGCCTGCCAAGTGAGTAACGGGATCATACCTTGTCCTTCCTTTAGAGAAGGAAACAAGAACAAGCAGGAAGTAGGTCTACCCATAATTAAAAAGCAACACCTTTATTTTCACCTGTCCCACAAGAAGACAAGAGAGCTGGAGCTGTAAAGAGGTGTGAGCAAGGTGAAATGAAGGTTCTCAAAGGGGAATGCAAGCTGAAAGGTGACATTACCTCTACTCAGGGGGAGGGGATCTTGGAAACCCCTGAAACTGTAGCTTCAGTTTCCAAAACTGTAGTCTAACATACAATTCTTCACTGTCAGAAGACAAGTGAGATGAACCCTTTACTCTTAAATATTGTCTGGTAGGAAAGGAGTCTCAAGAGTAGGTGGCAGGTGCTGGGTACTTTATTTCTTTGGCGATGATGAACCACTGCTCAGGGTGAACTAACACATTCTCAACCTCTGTCTTGAGATGGAGAATTCCTCACTGTTGGGTATGGGTTTTTTTGTGGGAAAGCTGGCAGAGGCCAGGGTATGGAGAGAGCCTTCCTGGGCAAACAGTAAGACAGCAAGCAGTAGTGGAGACCTAAAGATGACTTATAACTTGGAGATTACTCAGTCTATATTCTTCTGGAGCCTTGTGCAAGGGAGTCCAGGTCTACAGTTCAAGACTTTCAGGTACCGCTGTAATAAAATGGTGGAATTTCCCTGCTGTACTCATCCTCAGCTCACTCACATTGCAATGAGGATAAATTTAGACCTGTTTTAGAGCAAACATCAGTTAGGCATTGCTGCCTGATATTGCACAGCCAGGTTAGCTGAGTCTGTTCCTGGTGACTATGTTATAAAACCATTAGCTTCATGAAACCAGAGGACCTCAGCTCAGCCCCATCACTGTCCCTAAGCTGGGGGCATTGGAGGCAGTAAGTCAAGGTGTCTCTCAAGCAGGCAGAAAGTCCCAGGAGAATTTAGGAAAGGCTGGGGCATTCACTTTCTTAGGTCATCTCTCCACAACACTCTTGCTTGTTGGTTGTGAGGAACCATCTCCAGAGAGTGCTGCCAATAAATAAGCCTTGCTGCTTTCCAGACAAGTCTTCAACTTCAGCTCTATTATCTAAATTTCCAAGTAATTCCCTTGCATGTCATGTCTCCAGGGCTGTATCTGTGCTTGCTTTGTTTCTGTTTGCTCAGTGTTTGTAGTGTGTGAAACAGTATGCAAAAATTATGACAGAACGGGCTGAAAATATCGTAGCCATGTAGACAAGCAAACGAAGAAACAAAGAAGAATGAGGTGAGGTGCTGTGGCCTTCCGGGGCTGGGGTGCTCCTGCTCTAGGGAGACAAGTGTTGTAGGGGAAGTGGATGTCCTGTGTCTGGTTTTGGGGGTCCCAATACAGGAAAGACTGATCAACTGCAGTAAGTTCAGCAGTGGCCAACCAAGAGAGTTGGGGGCTGGAGCCCACATCCTGCAAGCAACTGGGCACGTTCAGCCTGGAGGGTGACTGGGGGAAAACCAGACAGCAGCTTCCAATACCTACAGAGAGGTTACCAAGAAGATGGGAGTCTGGGTCTTCACAGCGGTGCATGGTGGGAGGATGAGAGACAACTGCCAACAGTTAAAAGAAAGGAAATTCAAGCTGCATATAGCGAAAAGCTTTTTGATCGTGAGGGAAATCAAGCAGTGGAACAAGCTGTCCAGTGATTCTGTGCGTTCTCCATCCTTGGAAGTCTTCAAGACAAGACTGGATAAAGTCCTGAGCAGCCTGGTCTGATCTCAGAGCTGACTCTACTTTGAGCTGGAGGTTGGACTATTGACCTTCTGAAGTCCTTTCTGACCTGAATTATCTTATGACCCTGTGATCCTAAGACCAGAAGGGACAACCAAGGAAAACTCCCTCTCCTTCTCCCCCATTAATAACCACTGTCTCTTCATACACCCCATCTTCTTCCTTGCAGCAGCCAGCCTCATTTGTCAGACCTTAAGAAGTGGCAGCTCTCAGTGGCTCTGATGTATGGCTCAGGGTGGTGTAAGGAAGTGCTAGTTTTTAGAGAAGACAAAATGATTAAGACATCTGTCCCTCTTGCAGCCCGAGCTCTTGCTGGCTGCTGTGGGGGCTACACAGACTGGTAACTGCTTTGGGGAGGGAAGGCTTCCAGGATGCTCTAGGAAACGGGGAGACATTAACTCCAAGGTCACATTCAGGTTTCAGTGTGTGTGTCCTAGAGATTTCCTCCTGGAAGGTCTTAGAGCAGGTCATGGGGGAAAAAAAAAAACACCATTGCTTTTTTCTTTTTTTTTTTTTTTTCAGGAGAGAGGAGAATTCAAAGTAAAAAAAAATAAAATAAAATCAATTGATTTTTTTTTCCTGCAACTTCTGGAAATGCAGAGCTACTTTTATTAGTATTCTGTAGCTAAATGTTTGTTGCTGCTCCTGCCTCAGCAACAGTTTTCTTGAAAAATGTTAATATTTCAGAATGTGTAAGTTCCCATCACTAACTCTAATCACAGGAGTACAAAATCCTCCCCTACTTTTGGCCCCAAACTGCTGTTTAATGTTGACACATGGTGTTTCACAGGTATCACTGCTTCCACCAGTATGGGGATGTGATCCTTTCTATCCCCAGTGTAACATGGCTTGGAAGCATAATGAACAAATATTTGTTACACACTTAGAAGGTCATACATGAAAATTGCTAGGGGTATAATTTTTGAAAGAAGCTTATAAAACAGATGCAAAAATGGCTTTTCTTTGTTCTTAAACACCTTGTTCTTTTTTTTCCCCCCATATGTGGGAACTACAACCCCTTTTTTAATATCTAAGGAGGAAAAGGAGTGGTGAGGAAACCCAGTCCCCCTCATCCCTCCATTTGTTATCTTCAAATCAGTCCTGGGGTTGGTTCTGTGGAGAAGGGCCAGTGTTTGGTTAAACACAGACTGGGCTGAGCAAACAGGTTGAAAACTCCCTTGGACTTTCTCACTTCCAGCACTGTCAGCCTGCCACCAGCCCAGCTCGGTCAACTGGCTACCAGGCTTTGCTTGGCAGGCTGATTTGGCCAAATACCTGTTTGGTGTTTGTGTCTTCTCCAAGAGCAGGAGGACCAGAAGGAGGATGATGGGCTTGCAGGTAAGGGGCTGGGCACCCACAACCCACCAGTGCTGGCTGCGGACCCCCCCTTCTCCACTGATGCCGATTTTTTGGCATCTGTTTCATTTTAACGTGCCCCTCTTTTGTGTTTCAGGGGGTTTTAAAGCTCTCTTGGGATAAAGGATTTTGCTTTGTTTCCTCTATAAATAGACATTTCTTTCCCTCTTCTCCTTTGGAAATCATTCTTGGTCAGGCTGTCCCAGTGCAGGACCTCTTCCCTGGGGGATTTGTCCTTCCCCTGCCCTCCGTACGCACCCTTTCTCCTGCTTCGGCTGCCAGGGGGGAGTTTCCCCCTCAGCCTATGAAATCTGGCTGGCAACATCTGCCCAGACGTTGCAGCCCTGGCCCCCATCTTCCCCACCAGCCCAGGGGAGCAGTGGCTCTGTCCCGGGGCAGTTTCAGCCCCCCGCACAGGGCACACCAGGGCTCCGGCCATGCCCTCCTCTCTGAGCCCCAGAAGAGCAGCAGGCAGCAGCACTCCCTGTCGCCTTTGCCAGAGAGGGAGTCTGGGGAGAAGGGTCTGATGGGGTGGGTTTATGGCTCATCCCAGGGGTCTGCCCAGAGCTAGCCACGGAAACAGGCTAGCTCCTCCAAGATGTCATATACATCCCTACCCCGTTATCACCTCTCCCCAGCCAATCTTCTCTTTGCATCTTTCCTCCAAAAGCATTGCTTCACCCTTCCTCTCTGCTCCTCCCAGCATCCGTCCTTCTCTGCCCTCCCCCACTGAGTGCCCTGACCCACCCTGGAGCTGGTCAGGTCCTTTCGGGAAGGGTCTGGCCCTGGACCATCCCTGGCACTTTTGGAGCAGAGGGCTGGCCAGATATGAGGGAGATGGCAAACCCTGCCAGGGATGTTGGCCCTGTGGCACCGTGGCAGCACCAGGGCAGAGCTCCGGTTTGGGTGCTTTAGTTTTACCCCGCAAGGAGGCTGTGGAGCCCTGTGCAGAGGGTAAAAGACCTGCCCCGCTCGTTGCCCCAAATGCTTATGTCCCTGTTTCTGTGGGTTTGTGTTAGGTGCTCTGGTGTTGACTGTACTGAGCTGATACAAAGTGCCATGCTTTTTGTCTAGAGATGAATGTTGTTTTCCTGTGTCCTGCAGCAGGAGATGATAGAGAAATGTATTATGCAGCATTTGAAGTAGGGCCTTAATTATTTTGCAGTCTATGTGTTCAGACTTCAAATGTGTTTTTCCCCTGCCTGCTGTCTAATCCGGTGAACAAAAGGTTATGGTTTATAGGTCAGAGCACAACACCCATTGCGAGCACTCTGCTTTGCATCCTGGTTATTCCAATCAATGAGCTTTGCTGAATTTTTTATGCTGTGCTGGGCTTTTATCTCTCCCATTTTATTGAAAAATGACAAAACAAAAAACAAAGTGGAGTCAGATGAATTCCTAACATCCCGTTTGCATTTAAAGCTACAGGATCTCGAACAAAATAACAACAGTAACTAAAAGCAGAAGTGAAAACAAAGGACGACAGAGAACTTTTTGTTTTACAGAGAAACCACCTGCCCCATTACCAGAATAGTGCCCATCAACCTACCCAACCTGGGGATAACTAGAACATGGCTAGGAACTGTGGAGGCCAGGTAGAGACCTAGAAGGAGGTCACTTTGGATTAAAAACATGGTGCCATTTAATGAAGGAGGGTTGGTTTCCATCTTTCCAGATTTTTTTTTTTTTTTTTTTTGCCCAGGAGGGATGTTCTGATGTGGGTGCTGGGTGGGCAAAAAGGTGTCCTTTATCCTGGCTTGGGGCCACCCTATGGGATGCAAAATGAGAGGTGGGAGGTAGAGCATGATGCCTCCCGTGCACATGGGGAGCTGGTGTGGCACAGCTATTTTTTGGCAGACCAAGTAGTGTTTGACACTGTCCCCTAAGGGCACAGAGAGGAGAGAAGCCCCTCTGAGGTCTGCCACAGGGAAAGACAAAATAAAACAAGAGAATGAGAAAAGCACACTGAACATCCAGGCAGAGCCTTGGAGCCACATTCAGGATGATAAAGCACTGGTAGGACAACGTCTCCCCTCCCGCGGCTGCAGTCCTGCCAGTATCTTTTTTTCAGCTCTCAATGCAGTTACCTGAGGATTACTTTTTTTTTTTTTCTTGGCAAGGAAGAATTGATTTGACCAAACAATGATGCAGCAGCTTCTGCCCCAACTCTCAGAGCAGTGGGGTGATGCCACCCTCTCCCAAACACCGCCTCTTCCCCGACTCAGCTCCCCTGCCCCAGACCACCCAGCCTCCTGCGTCTCTGAGCGATGACCAGAGGCTCTGCAGCCCCTGGTGATGCGCAGCCAAGGAAGGCAGTGGCTCTCAGTCCAGCCCAGTGGGAAGCTGTCTGCATGGCAGCACTCAGGAGACAGCTGCCGGTGCGGGGCTGGGTGAGGTGCTGAGTGGCACCAACGTGGGCACAGAGCAGCTGCTGGCACACGATGCTTGCTGCTGAGTTGGTTTGCTTTCCTTCCCCTGGCCCAGCAAGCAGAAGCAAAGTGTCTTTTGGGGATGTGGATGGGCAGGCCAGCTGTGCAGGTCACCAGCTTTTTAGCCTGAAGGACGGGGCATGGATTTCTCACAGCAAAAATCTCGGTGCCTCCTTCCCCCCCTTGCCCCAGTAGCGTGGCAGGGGGCTGCCAGGGAGCACACGCTGGCTACCAGATACACAAACCCACCAAAGAACCACGGACTGTCTCCCCCTGCAGCTCTCCACCAGCTTTAAATTGAGCATTTTTCAGGTGATGCTCAGTAAAGCAGTCCCTTTCTTCCCCTTTTCATCAAGACTGCCCCACAGGCAAACACTCCAGCCACCTCTACGCTGCTGGCAGAGGAGAATGCAGTGCGGAGGGCTCAGTTAATTCTGGAACTGCTGCAGTCCCATCAGATATTGCTGCATTTCCGTTTAAAAGAGGGGAGAGAAAAAAAAAAAAAAAAAAAAAAAAAAAAAAAAAAAAAAAAAAAAAAAAAACCCCCAAAAAAAAAGAAAGAAAAAAAAGAAAAAATGCTCCAGTACAATACATTTGCCAAGGCTGCTTAGGTGACCTGCTGCTTTGCATATCAATGTGCTTTGCAGAACCCAGTGGAGAGCAGAGTCCTAGCAATGTACATTTTCTTGTAAAAAGGAGAGAAATACTGACAGAAACCGAGATGTTTTCAGGTTCAGGCTAAGCAGGGCTTCCAGCCAGCCTGGCTTCCCCTGGGAATGGACTTTCCTTACAGGTTACTAAAGAGTGCCTGAGGTTCTCAGGTTCTCAGGAGGTTTCAGGTTTGGTCTCCGAGTGTCTACTACACTAGGAAATTTCTAGGGGGGCTGCAAATTGCACAAGGCTGAGAACCCCTGGGGGAAATATTCCAGGCACTGTAATAATAAATCAGGTATGAGGGTTTTGTCACTCCACCTTCGTGTCAGCCCTCTGCCTCCGGGCTGGAGGGTACCTGCTGCTTGCGGGGGTTCCTCAGTGCCGGAGCCCCTGGGGCAGCTGCTGGGGTGCAGCAGCATCACGGTGCTGCAGCCACTCCGCTGCAGCGAGCGTGTGTGTCAGCCAAGCGTTGGGGCTCCTGGGCTTTGCCATCCCAGAGCTGCTGTGTGAAGGCAGACGGGTAGCCTGGCTACTCTTGCAGTTGATAGAGGGGAGCATTAATATTTAACTCTCTCCCCAGGCCACGGAGCTGAACCATTGATCGCTGCCAAAACACCTCTGTGTTCACGCAGAGTTCAACAGAGTTGCCTCATGCCTTTCTATAGCATCTGAAGAGACTGTGTTTACATTTCTGTCAGTGCAAAGCTAAGGTCTCTGTTATACCTGCCTCCCTTGTGTGTCTCAGGTTTACTCTGGGGCTTTTCTCAGTGCCACAAAGATGGGAGCCAGATCCTCTGGGGTCCTGTGGCTTTTAGCCATGCTCAGACCACAGCAGCTGTAGGCAGGGCAGGCATGGGAGGGCATGCAGGTCTGTTTCACCCGTGGAGCTCTCTCTTGGGTATACATGGCCTTAGAAAACCAGATTATCACCTGGTGATGGATCCATTCTTGCTTACTGCCTTGGTGGATAGTTCACATCCAGCTGGGCAACACTTATTTAGGGCAAATTAGTGACATAATTTAAGTCCCAGCTGAGTTTCCCTTTGTCCCTCATCCCAGCTATGTCCTGCCCTTTTTCTTGATGGTCATGGGGATGTGTCCCAAGAACCTGACAAGCAAACAGCTTCCAGTTTCAGTCCCTTAGCATCTGAGTAATCAGTGCATGAATTTGCAAGATAGTCTGCAGATTCTGGAACATCCACAATCCAAATGAAGTCAGGTTTAACTTGGATGGTGCTAGCACACCTCCGTAACGTTGGTGCTCAGTTCTTCCTATACATCACCTTGTCGTTCTTGAGTCTGACTGTATATGTGATATTTGGCTTATTTCTCAAGTGCCTTCATGGTTCAGAATGTGGTCAAAATAGACATGCAGACTTAGCAGAGGAGCAAATCCTGTCTGTGCTTCCCAGCCCACCGTGCGGGTAGCTAATGAAGCGAACCCAGGAGCTGTGAAAATGGTCTGTGGCAATACACAAGTAGATCACTTGAGAAAGTCTTAATGCATACAAAGAGACTGGAAAAAAGCATGTGGAAGTGATGGATGGGCTGTTTGGAGAGGTTTTGTTTGTGTTTTTAAAATGCTGATGAGCTGCGTGATTTATTTTACAGTACATGTCGGGATTTGGAAATGAACTTGTTTCTGAGGATCCACGCTGCCCAGGAGCTTTACCAGAGGGACAGGTACTGAGGTTTTTTTTTTTTAAAGTGTTGTATTAAAATGACATGGAATAGAGTGAATAACTGTTCCCTGGGCTTCTTTTCATCTTAACATGTTTCCTCTCTCTCTGCCACCACGAAATTCTCCAGGAGACTTCTTTATGCAGGACTGGAATAATAAAATGCTGGCAAAAAATCAGAATTAAAGATTTCCATTCATCCTTTCTATTTTTAAGTTACTCATGAGCTTCCAAGTTTCACCTTGGGGACTAAGACGTACCTAAATTACCTCTTCTCAACAACAGGTTTTTTTCCAAAAGGAGTCTGCAATACAAGTGGCTCGGCTACACCGCGAAGGAACCCATCGGCTCAGGAATAAACCGGAGCAGAAGTTTGAAGCTTGGCAGAGAGACAGGCAGGAGAGGTGGCTTTTGGAATTTCTGTAGGAATTGGGTTCGAGGAAGCTGGCTTATTTTGGCAGGAGAGCAGCTTATTTGTAGGGAGGGGACATGAAAGCCTATAGTAATAAACGGACAGATTCATAATTAAAAGTAACTTCTGAGCATGTTTGATGAAAATAAATTATGTTGGGTCATTCTGTTTCAAAGAAAGGAATAGTGATCCATGTGGTGCTAGCCACTCTGTCCTCAGAGGCAAGAACAAAGCCCTGAAGAATTAAAGCTCTATCATCTCCTTTGCATGTCTCTCCTTTACACCAGCACACAGTTTGAGGCTGACTGTGACCTCCCTTGGATCTCCTGTAAGCCCCTGAGCTTGGATGGCAGCATTCTATGCTCAGTCAATGACATTCCTTGGTGTTCGTCTTCATCTTCTGTGCAAAGAGGCCAGCAGAATTAAGGTCAAACAAGGAGCTTCACCCTTCGCTTTTCCTGAGTTTTCTGTATCTCCCCAACTCTGATGCTTTACATGTTGGATGCCAGTGTGGATAGTAACACGCCACACAAGGACACATAAAATGCGTACATATGTCCCCTAGGTCTGCATTGCAGCTTGTGGTGTGCCCACAAGAAGGACAAACTGATGTGCTGGATCAGACTGATGGCTCAGCTGGTGCAGTGTCTTGTTTCTGAAACTGGCTATAGCATATGGGTTGAGAAAAAATGTGAGAGGCACCTTGAAACCGGGAGATTGATAGTGGTGGCTGCTGGTCTGAACAGGCAAGTGGGCTGCGGTGAGTTTGCTCCTTGTGATTTCCCAGAGCAGTACTGCTTTCCGGAGGAGGAGGACCCCTCTAGCTGCTGGCTGAGGTACTCTCATCTGGACTTGGTGCCAAAAGAGTTAATAGAAAAATCTGAAAACCAGTTAGACAAAAAAAAACCCTCCAGTCCCAAGGGTGGATCCATTCTCCTCTGCAGTGTTTATAAGACTGGCATCTGCAGTAGTGCTGGCTCAGATGAAAATGACAAGGGCTATTGATCCCCCTGCTTCACTGCATACCCATACCAACAAGATGGTATTTGAGGGCTGGAAGCTATGTGCGTTATGAGAGCTTTCCCTCTTCCTTCTGCCCACCTGTCAGGGCAGGGTTTGATACCATATGGATGGCTGATCCGCTCAGCCGCAGCAGGATGCCAGGATGCTAAACTAGACCTTGCAGGAGGGAGATGGGATAGCAAATGGTGTATGACTGTCCCACCGAGGTATTTCCTGCAGTTCTTGGATGCCTCTGCTTCTTTCTGATCTCAAACAAATAGATGCTGGCCTACTTAGATCAAAATGTTTAGTTTCTCTTCTCTGAAAAGGAGGAATCTGTCCTTCAGTTATGAACTCACAAGGGCTGCTAAACCTGTGCTAGTCATACCCACAGATCTGCAAAGGGGAAAGTGCCCCCTTGGTACTGCAAATGAGGACTGTCACTGTGCAGAAGCCCTGCAGAAAAGCCAAGGCCTCCCCCCCACCAGGTCTCTCTCCCCTTGGCCAGCAAACAGCACTGGCAGGAGGAAGCAGCACCCCACCGCAAAACCTGTTCTGGGCACCCCGCTCCTGGCCAGAGGGCAGGAGAAGAAGGGGGTGCTTTGTGCGTAGGAGGGAAGAAGCAAAGTTGCAGCTGCTGGGAGTCTTTATCCTCCCTCTGGAAATCCAGACTGATGTGATGCTCCTGTCAGCAACCCCTCTGGACTCTTGGTCTCAAAAAAATTGTGCATGATAACAGTCTGCTTTGCAGTCTGTAAGCGTTGGGAACAAGCCTCTTTTCCTTGATGCTCCTGTCAGTGACCCTACTGAGCACCGACCCTTGCAGCTTGCTCCAGCAGTGTTGCTTTAATGATTGTGCTGATGCCTTGGGGCACTCGTGTGACCTCTTGCATGTGGGAACGGGGTTTGGGGTCTGGCTGGTACCCACAGGGCACCCAGCCTCATGGGAGCAACATGATATGACTACCAGGGCTGTTGCATAGACTCAGGAGCACAATCCACACCCTGGCATTGGGGTGCTGGCCGCCCGCCACGATGCTCTGCCAGGGGCTTCAGAGATAAATCCCGTGCCGCTGCTTCCCACTCCTTATTTTTCCTTCTCCTCCCGTTCAGAATAACCCACAAGTCTGCCCGTACGGCCTATATGCTGAGCAGCTCTCGGGCTCTGCCTTCACCTGTCCCCGGCCCACGAACAAGCGAAGGTACCGTTGACCCCCCACAGCAGGTGGGTGATGTGGGGTGCTTGGGGTGAGCATTGGGGAGCAATGGAGAAGCTGCTGCTGTGCCACCAGAGCTTTCTGAGAGCCCAGACGGATGAAAAACCTCCACTGTGCACTGGGAGAGGGGCAAGGGCAGAAAACCACAGGAGAAAGGAAAGGAAAGGCTTTGGTGGGGCAAGTGGGTTACGAAAATTCCAAGAAAGGGATTGTCTGGATAGGAAAGAAAGTGGTTTTCTGAGCAAGGCAAGGAAGGGAAGGGGATGTTCATGGGGGTCAGATGGTCCTGAGTGGATTGTGTGTGCTGCGTGAAACAACCTCAGGGTCTCAGCCCTGATGCTACTGCAAAAACATGGGCACTGCAACTAGCACTGGTAAACACCTGATGGACAGTGTCCAAACCAAGCCTTTGAGCAGGACTCTTTCCTCCTCCTAAGGGATGCTCCTGCATGCTGGTGAGGCACTGGGTCAGGCTGTACCTGTTTTGCAGCTGGCCATGGGCTCAGACCAACACCAGGCACCCAGCATGCTGCTTACTACCCCGTGTTCCCAGCAGTGCTGGGGACACCTTATTCCAGCCAGCAGCAAACATCCTGGAGCTCTGTCCCCGTCACTGTGCTCTGGCCATGACCAGGTTGCAGAAGATGCGTTTCTCATTTTGCTTCTCCCATGGAGGCTTTCCTGTCCCTTCTGTTGTTCGTTCAAATGAAAGGCAAATGCATCATCTGAGCTGCCTAGCAGAGCTCTGCTCTCCAGGCTGGTGCCAGCTCGCGGTGTGCGTGGGAAAGGGATGAATCATTGTTTGCTGCACGAAGATGTCCTTGATGGAAATTTTCCAGCTCTCAAGGGAGAGCTCCCTCCTCCCCTCAGCCACCCACCCAAACTGCAACCACCACTGTTAACACATCAAAGCCATTGGCAGCCCTGCCTAGCTCAGGCTTTCCTGATTACCCCTGGTCTCCTGCCTGATTAAAAGCCCAGATCTGTGCCTGTGCCTGGTGTGTGGATACCGGCCACGGCTGTGGGAACAGTGGGGGAGGCAGGGGCTGCAGCCATGGACACAGCAGGCAGCAAGGAAGGAGAGTGATGGCCCCAGATAGTGATGGAGGCATGGGGGGACCTCCTGCAGCAGTAGGAAGCATCATCCCACATGAAACTCTGGTTGTCACTGCGTGAACTCAGTGGTCGTCCTATGGGCATGGCCGGCCAAGCACAGGATGCTACTTTCAGTAATCCACCCAAATTCAGATACTGGCTGTGACCTTCTGTCTCCTGAAAGCTCCTCTGTACTTTCAGGTAGATACTGTGCTCATCCATGTCTTGTCTCACCTCCTTTGTAGCTGTGTTTAAATAGGCCTTTTTTTCCACCATGGAGATAGCCATCTTCCAGCCACAGGTTGAACTGCAGCTTTATTTTTTTATACATATATATGCATGTGTGAGTGTAACATATGTGACTATATGTAAACACACATACAGGCATTTACCTACATATAGCAGCATATATTTGTACTTAGAGCCTACAGTAAAAAGACATCTCTCTCTGGAAGTCTCTGGCTGTGAGCTGATGTTTGATATTTAAAATTTCTTTCAGTGCAGTTGCCACTAATGTAAATGTTATTCATGCCTTTAGGAGCTCAATCAGCCAGCAGCCACCCAGAGGGTTTAACCTCTTCTTCAGGTTAATCCAAGTCTTTTCCTTCTTCCTAGCTGGCTGTATCGGATCCTACCTTCAGTCTGCCACAAACCCTTCAAACCTCTCAAGGAGGGCCACTTGACACACAACTGGGATGAAGTTGAGCCTGACCCCAACCAGGTAACTGTTCTGGAAAGAACCCTGGTCCTGCCAGGAGGACAGTCAAGTATTAAGCTAAGCAGATGTGCAAAGGCACTGAGCTGCAAGAGGTCTAAGGAGAGCTGTATGGAGCTTTGGGTCTGGCCAGTACAAGAGCTGGGTCCCTACTGCTACCTGTTGTTCTTCACCTATGCGTCATCCAAGGAAGGACATCCCTCGACATGATGCTTGTTGCTTCCCACCTTGATGGATGCTTGTGCTGCTTCCCAGCATGGCCACAGTGTCACAGGGTTTGATCTGTGCTATCTAGCATCTCCCTTGGGGGCTCCTGTTGGCCACCTCTGAGGCTGCTCTCTGTTCCTATTCAGTGTCCCACATCAAAGGCTCATCGTGCCCCAGTGTGTCTCTGCCATCCATCCCTGCCTTCCCTGTGCTTTCGGAGAGGCTGCTGGCTGTCAGCCCGTGTCTCTGCAGCCCTTGTGGGAAATCAAGCTTCATTCTGGAGAGTCACACAGAGACACGGCATTTGTCTTCCTCTGTTACAGCCTTGCCATCATCTTTAATCATGATTTCTTCCCTGCCAGCCCCAGAACATTTGGCTTTGCTAATCCAACTCTCTCCTCCTGCTGTTCTCCTCTCAGCATTATCTCATGGTCATCAGTTTTTACTCCTCTCAGGTTTTGCCCTTTGATGCATCATCATTAGCTAATTTCCAGCCTCCTGACAGTCTTGCTGTTTGTCTAAATATTTTCCCAGTTCTGCTGTAACATGTTTTCCAGCCACTGACCAAGAAGAGGTGCCAGGCTCGTATTCACCTGCTTTTGGTGCTTCTTTCCCAGATGAAGCTCCAATGACTTCTGTTACCACCTCATCCTTCCCTGATGCCCTGTCACAGCCTGCATCTACCATTACAGTTATTTGTGATTACAGTCATTCCAAGGTGTCTGGCTCTCAAGCATCTCAAGCCATTTACGTGTAGTACATCTTTTACCTAAGGGAAGAGCAGTGAAGCTCCTGCCCACTCTCTCTCTCACCACTTTCAATGGCAATCAACAAACCTTGAGGCATTATTTCCTAGTGGTAAGTGGCAACCATCTTCCTGCTTTCCTTCTCATCCTCTCTGAAGCGGAGCCAGGGACCAGGTTCAGTTTGTTGGACAAGACTGACTCTTCCCTGCGGTGCTTTGTGTTTTGCCCAGCTCACTTAGGGAGCTTTCCTGAATGTCATGCATCTAAAAGGATGGCCATATGGAAGCCCTTTGTGCAAAGCCCATTGAAGTCAATGGGAAAAAATATCCTTTAACATTGCCCAAAGACAATGGCAGAATTTTAAAAGGCACAGGGGACAAAACAGAAAAGGGGACAAAGGTGATGAAAAAATACAGTGTGGAAACAGTGCAAGAAATGCTGAAACAGAAGAAAGCTTTATGGCCTGAAGCAGAGACGACCAAGGGGAGCTATGACTGAGAGGCAGGGAGAAAACAAATGCCAATAACAAATGTCATATTTTAAAAAAATGCATAAACTGTAGAACTTCTTGCCAGAGGATGCAGGTGGATTCAAAAAGTGATTGGACAAACCTTGGGAGAAAAAAACCTATAAAGTAATACTAAGCCCAGAGGTGCCGTATCTCAGGAGGATCATGGATCGTACAGGAGGGAAACAACACTAAAAGGTTCCTCGTTTTGAGCACCTGGTGCTGGTGGCCACTGTCTGCCTTGGATTTCTTGTCTGGCTCAGGGCACTCATTCTTCTCTTCTTGCATCAGTGAAACTCAAAGGCAGCAGAGGCAAACCGGACGAACGGTGTGCAGAGCCAGGAGGTGGCTTTGCAGTTTGCAAGAGTTTCAGAAGAGAGGGGCCAGACACCATTTTCAGTTGTGACCAATGGGCCAGATGACAAACTGATTTCCTGCTCTCTTTGTCCCACAGGAATGACAACTGTAGAAGTGTCCACAGGGACCAAAGTGAAAATAAAGCCGTTACGCAGGAACTGCACTGTACTTACTACTTTGTCTGTAGACTTAGTATCATCTTCCATATTCCTCAATAAGAAAATTAGCTTCCCCTTAGATCTCTGTACCTGACATTTATTGCTCTTATTTCTTCCCTCACTCTCTCTCCCTGCTCTTCAGGGTTTTCTCTCTTTGACCCCCCAAATATCCTTTCTGTCAGTATTTCCAATGGTTTCTGTCAACTGGGTCCCAGTTCCCAACCCTGAAGGCTTAAAATGTTGAGATGCCACGGCTGACCTTCACAGCTGCCACGAAATGAACGGAAGCCAGGGAAGGTCCCACAGCTTGGGGTGGCAGCAGGCTCTGGAGCACCTTCTGCCCACACTTTGTGTTGGTTCTGGTTCATGTCTGGAAGGCTGTCTTGGAAACCAAAGGAAACCATGCTTTAAAGAAGTCCAAAAGCAAAACCTGAGGTTGGGCACTATCTTACTGGCTCATCTACGAGGTGTCGATACCTTGCAAGGGTCACATCTGATCTGCTAGTGGGTGCATCTGGTGTCTCTATACAGAATACACAGCTTCTCCAGCAGCCTCTTCCCCTTCGTCCAGCACCCGGGACACGTGACACCGAGCAGGCACTGGCATGGAGACGCCCAGGTCTCCCAGGGAGCAAAACGTGCCTCTGCCCCGCAGCAAGCGGGATGGGGGGAGAAAGGGGCAAGGGATGGATCCAACCTGGGAGAATCCAGGGCTGCTGTGAGGCCGCGGTGGTGGGATGCCCTGGGGAAGCAGATGGCTTTGGAGAGCAGAGTGGAGCAGGGCAAGCTGCGGGGCCATGCCTGGGGTGCAGCTGATTAATTACCAATGAGCCCATGCAGCTCATGCAACTCTACTGGCAGATGCACTCACTGGGCAGAGTTGCCTGTTTCCTCATGAGGCCGGCTCTCCAGGAGCACCTGGCGAGTTGCCTGCACACCCATGTTTTGATTTGTTTTTGGAAAACTTCTATGAGGGTTGGGAGAGTTTAATATCTTTGTATCCCTTTCAAATTCAGCTGAAATTTCACATAATTCAAAATTTTTGGGAGCGGCAGGCACAGACACAGAGACCCATAAACTTTGTTTTCTCAGGTCACCAGCCTAAAAACATGTCAAGAACTGCCAGGTCAGGTGGCTAAAAGCAAGAAAATGTATATTCTCATGAATGCTCAGAGTCACAGACACTTTCATCTGGGGTTGAGCATATCAGTGCAGGGGACATATCTGGCAACTGGCCGTGTTAACCTCCTAATTTGGGGTGTTTGGGTTGGTCTGCCCTGAAGCGCCCCACGGTGAGGGGCTCTCAGCTGCAGCACCTTGTTCCCAAGAGCTGCACAAAGACCCTTAATATGATATTAGCTGTAATAAATACCTTGGACTCCCCTGGTACTTTCTGCCTGAGGATCTTGACAGGTTCTGCAAGAAGTAAGTAGTGCTGCTTGCAACTCCCACTCATGTAGATAGAGATATATCTGCTTTGGGTGTGGGGAAAATTAGTTGGAGCAAACAGGAGCGTTATGCTTGGGTCATGGAGGGAGTGAATCATCCAGCACGGACCGTGACAATTTGGCTGTGGAAAGCCATCTCATCTGGATTTCTTTGCTCTCAATAGTGTTATTGCTAATAGAGGAAGAGACAGTTTTAAATAGGATTTTTTTTTTAAACTTAGCACTACACAAGCCTGCCAATTATTTTACAAAACTATTATTCAAAAGGGAAAAAAGCTCCATAAATCAAAAGAAACCTGTAAAACAAATTAAGCAAGGCAAAGAGGAAAGAGAAAGATACCTCAGCTAGCAGAGGGCAGGGAAGCAGGGAGGGATGGGGGTCTGTTTTCTTTTGAACTTGCCACTGTTTGCATTATAACTACCGGCATTTTGCTTTTTGTTTGCTGCAATCTAGCTGCGATGGAAACCTTTTGAGATCCCAAAAGCCCCTCAGAATAAGCTGGACTTTGTGAGCGTAAGTTGGGGGACCAGAGCATCCAGGCATCCTCCATCTCTGCTGCCCCTTGAGGCATAGCAGGGCACACAAGATGCTCAGCACTGGGCTAACAGCAGTGGTTCTGACACCTCTGGGCTTGCAGGGCATCCGTGGGAGGGGAGAGGATTCCAGATTTCAACCACCCGACAGTAGACTTGATTTTCTACCTTGCCTTTCAAGGAACTCTTCAAAAAAAGCCCCAACCCTCAGTTCTCCCCAGTCCCTGGTCTGGAAAACACCAGCTTACATGGACTGCTAAGAAACCCGTGAGAGAATTAAAGCCAATGTGTTTGGCCAGAGGCCCCATGTGGACAGGCTTATAGTTGTATGGGAAAGGGGGAGAGGGGTTCAGCCCTAGAAAGGGGTTGGGATGAGGGGAGGAAGAGGCTGGCCCCTGCCCTGCTGCCTGCCGCTTGCTCCCAACGCTTTGGGTTTGCCTGCAGGGACTGCACACCTTGTGCGGCGCGGGTGAGCCCAGAGGACGCAACGGCATCGCTGTCCATATTTTCGTCTGCAACACCTCCATGCTTGACAGGTCAGTGACTGCTACGCTGGGGGCTTGGGCTGCCGGGGCTGGCTGCCTGCGTGTGTATGTCTGTTGGTGCTGTGCTTGAGTGCAGCTGCTCCCAGCGGTGCTGCCTCTCTGTCCTCGTATCCCTGTGTGCACAGGCAAAGGTGTTCATGGCGTCCATGGCAGGTGTTTGTAAAGCAGGGTGTGCTCCATGAATGAGCACTGGGAGAGTGGGTGGGGAACCACCAAGAGAAGGAGGGAGCTGGATGTGGGGATGCAGCAAGAGGGGATGTGTTGGATCCAAGTGCCAGTCCCAGGGACTGGGGCTGCTCCTCAGAGGTCAACACGCATGCAGCCTCTGATGGACATCGCTACCCTCTGCAGCAGCTCATGGGAGAAGTCAGCCCTGCTCCCCAGCTTACAATGTCCAGTGTACCCATGGCCACAAAGGCAGGGACCTGGCAGAGGTTGAATGAGATCCTGGTTCCAGGCCATGCACATTAAACCCCCCCTGCTTCCTCTGTACTGGCTCATCTACTGCATTCACTGACCTGCAAATAGCATTTCTGCTGTTGAAGGGGAGACCTCTGCCATGTCAATCTCCCAGCTCAAAACTCCCCAGCTGTGGTCATGGTGTGAGCCTGGGATTTACAGCATCTTGACCCTCCTGTTCTCCTTTTCCTTTAGATGCCTTTATAATTCGGATGGTGACTTCCTAATTGGTGAGTTGATGCTTTGGCTTTTCCTTTCCCCCACAAGGGTCTACCTGGGCTGACACCTGTCTTGCCTCTTGTTGCTCCAGAATCTAGGCCCTACAGCCAAGATTTGGAGGGGAGGGATGGCTTCACCCTCATGACATCTAGATTTGGTGGTCTGGCACCAGCTGGGCTGTTGGGTGGGTTGCACTGCTCCTGTGCATCTCCGAGGGTGCATGTCTGTGCCAGACCTCGACTTTGTTTTTGAGCAGTGACCCAACTTCCTTGGTATGGTGCTCAGGGATCATCTCCCAGCGCTCCCCAGATTGGTATTAGGCACAGCACAGGTGGAGGTTTTCTGAAAAACATAAGCCTCAGGATTTCTGAACAGCTTACAGCTATCTGCCTTTGTTGCTTCAGCCCAAGAGTATTTGGTACGGCAGCTTAGCTTCCACGCTCTGCCAGCCTCAGGCAACCAGACTGCCACAATGAGTGTTGAGGTTGGCACATAAAGTGCGTACATGCCAAAAAATATTCTGAGCAGTATCAGAAGTCTGATATTTTCTTGTATCTTTCTGGACCAAGGGACAGAAATGCCTTCAGGTCACCAACAGAAACATTTCTCCCATCAAATAGCTATTAAATTGTTCTCACTCACCTCCCTCTCTACTGTGAAGTAAAAGTGCCAGGGCAGGTTTTGTAAATCTGATAGTTTTTCAAGTCAAAATGTGAGCTTTCCTGCACCAGGACAGTCAGGGAAAATCCCTCCCGCGTGGACATCTCTGCTGCAAGGCTCTGCATGGGCGAGGGAGCCCAGTCCCAGTGTGAAGCAGGGTCAGAAAGGGCCCATTGCCTGGGTGCTCTGGGGAAAGCTCCTCTGCCTCTGTTTTGTTTCTACAGTGCCCCAGCAAGGGAAACTGCTCATCACAACTGAGTTTGGGAAGATGCTAGTGGAGCCCAATGAAATCTGTGTCATCCAGGTAAGGGCTGACTGTGCCTTGCCTGTGGCTCAGAGCCCGATGTTGGAGCAAGCCAGCTCCTGCATTCAGCTGTTTGTGGTTTGCCAGCAAAGTCCTGGGAGGATCCTGGTATCTTCCTTTACTTTCCAGCAAGGCATGCGTTTCAGCGTGGAGGTGTTTGGAGAGACCAGAGGCTACATCCTGGAGGTGTATGGGGCACACTTCGAGCTGCCTGACCTGGGACCCATCGGTAACAATCTCCTGCCAGACATACAGTGCATTTCATAGGGATAGTCAGGAATTGCAGGCTCCAGTCCATCCTTTCATCTCCTATGTAATACATCCTCCCATGCACATGATGCTTCACAAAGACATTTTCCATCCCAGCACTGTTATTCCCCAGCAGAGCAAGCATCCCCCCCCCCAAAAAAAAAAGTGACAGCCCAATAGTTCTGAGATTCCTCTGGAACTGTAAGAACCCTTTCTCTCCCACTCCCTTTTCACTTTCTCTCTTCCTTCTGGTCTGGGAGTCCCCATCTGTTGGTTCTGAACCTGTTCCTACCACAAGAAACTCAAAAGGCTCAAAATCACTGATACTTCTTACTTGCAAATACAGCATAAACTGGAGTAATAGGAGAGAATTTGCCCTGTAAAAGGAAAGGTGGGTTTCAGAGGTGACAGATATTCTTGAAGCCCCATTTTAGATTTAATCAAGTGTTTTTCCCCCCACCTCTGTTAACAGAGGCACCTTAGAGCTCTAGAGCCTAAAGCGCTTTAGTATCAGAAGCTGTTCCCCTTGGAGAATTAGAAATCAATAAAATGAGCAGCACAGGGCTGGGATCAGGAACACACTGAGCACAGGTCTAGCTCTCTTATAAATCACAGATCCTCTCTGCCAGCTGCCTCCTGGTCTGTGCAATGTCAGGGATCATGAAGGCACAGCCTCCTGCTGCCCTGACAAAGATATTGCGAGGGTGCACGGCATCTGAAGCCCTGCTGTCCCCCGTGATTTCCCAGCTGGCTTTCTGGAGGTGCTCAGCTCAGGTTATTTCACCCTCCTTATCGCTGTAGTACTTGCCTTCAAACTTTTCTTGCTGAGAAAAACACCTCCTGGTTACAGATACTAAGGTTGTCTCAGGGAAGGGAAGAGAAACTAAACAACTACAAAACTGGTACCACCACTGGTTCTCCACTTTCAGACTGGTGTTTTGGGGTTTGCATTTTTCATTTTAGGTTGTACTGGGGTTTTTCCCCACTAGACTGGGCTTGTTTTATAGCTCTCAGTGAGATCTACAAGACTGGCCATGCTTGAAGTAAGCTGACTAGGTATTATCAATCAGTGACAAGCTTGGCGTGGCCCATCTGCATTCAGAGGGACTTTGCAAATATCTCATGACCATAGCGAAACCAAAGCCAGTCATTCTCATGGGGGGAACTGACCCAATTTGCAGCCGTTTAATGGGACCCCGCTCGAGCATCTCTCCCATGTGACATACTGGGCACATCTCTTTCCACATTGAGCCTACAGTGATTTTTCAGCAGCTTTCCTTTCATCCATCTGAGGTTACCTGCCTTCACCCACTTCTTGTGCTCTGTGCCTGCTCCAGCTGATTATTGATGTTGTTGCCCCAGCCTGTTTGTAACAAGTTTTCCCATTAGCTAGTTTTTCAGACAATGTTAGACTGGGTTTGGTTTGGTTTTGGGGTTTTTTTTTTCAGTCTCTAGAAGGCAGGGATCTATTAAAAGGTTTACTTTCTAGAGAAAATAAAATGAGTGCACTTGCCTGTAAACCTTTTCAGGAGGTGGTAATTATAAGAGCTCTTCTTCTCACCACCTACCTGCCTTCCCCTTGGAGACCAAGATCCTTTGTATTTCAGTCTTACTTTATTCTAACTTCACTTTTCACTCGAAAAATGACAGCTGGAGAAAAGCACTGACTGCTAAACCTTAGCAGCAGGTAGTAATGTCTGCATTTTTACCCAAGAAATTCAAACCCACTTTGTAACAATAATACTAATGAGAAGAAGAAGAAGAATGCTTCAGCACCTGTATAGTGCTTTGTACTTTGAAATGCACTCCTTGCCCTAACCAACCCCTCAGTATGCCCAGAGTCTGTAGGTATCACTAGCCCTTATTTTATTACTCCTTTTGCAAGCATTCAGAAATGTATTTGTCCCCCTCATGACATGCCTTGTAACTTTGGCATGGCTAAGTGTCCAGCCAGCAAGATATCCAGGAACAGAGAGCAATTCACCCTCTGCTTTTTGCTTAATTCCTAGTTGTTACATGCCTTTAATTGAGGATGATGTATTAATCTTGTTCAGAAGGCAAATGGAGGAGACCTGTCTTAGTCAGATAAGGCGAACATGGACTTAAATGCTAGGATGTATTACAGTTACCTGCTTGTAGGAGCACACAAAGTACATGACTATTTCATCATCTGTGGTGGGCTGACAGGCAGTAAGGTCATTCAAAAAGCAGAAGGGCACCCACAAAGCCAGGAAATTTTTGTGATAGCCTCTCACTTTGCTAGCAGGTTGCCCAAAATCTCTGGCATCTCTCTTCCTTTTGCAGGAGCCAATGGCCTGGCCAACCCACGTGACTTCTTGGTGCCCGTTGCGTGGTATGAGGACCGCCACGTGCCAGGGGGCTACACAGTGATCAGCAAGTACCAGGGCAAGCTGTTTGCAGCCCAGCAGGTGAGGATGCCCTGGAAAACACGTAACACTGAAGTGCAGCAGCTGCCAGTGCATGGCCTGGGATGTACAACTCAGCAGCATGCACATAGTCTCAGGAGGTCCTGCTGGGTTAAGTGGAGCAGGACTGAGCCCTTGCCTTGTTGGGTCATTCATCTTCTCTGTTGAGGCTCCTCCATTTAGAAAAAAAGTGTTTGTGAAGACTTGGTTAGACCAAAGACTCAGTGATGTTCTTTGCCAGGCTGCTTCCACGTGTTTATAGTGACAGAATAGAAAAGGGGAGCTCGAGCTGCTGTGAAAAGCCAGGGTTTCCTTACCAGAGAGCCAGTGCTGCAGCTGGCCTTGTTCAAACACTGCCTGTGCACTTGAAAGACCTTAGGGACCAAACCCTGGAGGGAGAGCTGAGGCTCAGCATGTAGAAATGCTGAGGAAAACCACATCCTTGCAATGCTGGGCTGTGCCTAAATGGCTTTGTGCTCCATACATACATAATGGCTATGTGCTGGCATACTTCTTCTCACCAGCACCAAACCCATTTTTAATTTGAAAAAGAGCAGTGCCTTGTATATGTGCAGCAAGTTGGGAGGTTGTGTATGGTAACCTTCTGTCTCTTTGCTTTGGTAGGATTTCTCCCCCTTCAATGTTGTAGCCTGGCACGGGAACTATACGCCGTACAAATACCATCTGGAAAAATTCATGGTCATTAATTCTGTTGCTTTTGACCACGCGGTAAGTTCTGGAGCTGGGCAAGGCAGAGCGATGCTGTGTGGATACTGTACCATCCAAACTCACCCTGAGACCCAGGGGCTCAGCGCCTGTTAAAAAATATGTTGTGCTCTAAGAAACAGTGTGAAATCTCCTGCGCTGCTTTCCCTGGGTCTGAACCAAGCTCTTGTAGAGAAGGACAACCTCCTTTGTGGTACAAAGACATAACAGGAGGTTGATCAGCCTCTTAAACAGCTTTATGCAGCTTAGCATAGAATTTCTGCGCCCTGGAGGAGAGCTGAATACTGAGCCAACATACACTGTGTAACTCAGTGAAAAGACTTTTGCTTCAAATTCTTGCCTTGATTTATTTCATCCCATTGCACAGACTCCTTCCCCTGGTTCCTCGGAGCCCAGCACTTAAATTCATTTGGAGAGCTGGCAGCTTTCATTGCAATAATTTCTAGATCTTATGGAAAATAACTAAAGCCAAAACTAACGTGAGCAGCTCTTCTAAAAAGGAAACCAGCCCAGTGGGAGAGGTGCCTGCAGCAGTGCCATCTCTTGGTGCTGCTTCTGCAAGTGGGTGTGCAAGGAGACTGGAGCATTTCTAGTGAGACGACCAACAGAAAGTATTGTTTAAACTCCAGAAAAAAACTGCCGGGAAGAGGATGGGTTTGGGATCAAAGCCCAGAAAATCACTTCACTGGACTAAAGACTTCAAAAATCCTTGAAGCAAGCCACAGTTTTTCTGCACTTTGTTCTCCCTGTTTGTAAACTAACATGGCTGTGAGGCTCGATGCCTCCACCAGGATGTTCATGTCCTCTGTAACCAGATAAAGCAGAGGTACAGTTTCATGGTAGGAGGAGTGCTGGAGACTGCTCCGGGAATTACAGTGTCCCATCTTGCGGGGCTGTCCCTCCCCTGCATCTGTGCTGCGGGCTCCAAGGGCATGATTGCTCGGGTGGTGGGGCGTCTCTAAGGCTGCCTAAAGGAAGAACCATCCCATCCCATCTCTTGCCTGCCATGTTCAGCATGGGATCGAGATGCTTGCTGCTGTCACACAGGGTCACAAATCTCACCCACACCACCAGGTGCAGGTGGTAACAGTGTTTTGGCAAGGGAGATGCTGTAGCAGTCAGGTTTACAGGCAGGATGACCTGAGCAGACAGCTCTGAGCCCTGTTCTGTTTCATGCTTTTTGCTTTGCTTTTTTTAGGATCCTTCTATCTTCACTGTCCTGACAGCCAAGTCGACGCGTCCTGGAGTGGCACTGGCTGACTTTGTCATATTCCCCCCACGATGGGGGGTAGCTAACAACACCTTCCGGCCACCATACTACCACCGTATGTCTGCTCTTGGTTGTGCACTTCAGAAAAAAGCTAAGCCTCCACTTATTTGAGAGCATGCGCAAGAAGAAGTCTGATTTGTTGTCCTTGGCAGAGTTAGAGTCAGCTTCTTGGAGTCAGTCAGTCCTCCCTGGCAAATGAACAAAACCAAAGATGTCCCATTTTAGAGCATCTCAGGAAAACTCAGAGGTGACAGGCTGGCTGTGTCTGCGTAGATTGATGCCTCTGTACTCAAGGGGCTCCCACTGAGACTGGGTGCATATTGAACTTGGCAGTGCAGAAATACATCAGAAATTGTCCTGTCATCCAGCCATGAATTGCTTAATATCTCATTAGAGTGCGCAGATAAAGAACAGGAGAAATGAAAATACGATATCACAGGTGGTGAGAAGCACAGAGGGATGTAGAGCTGCCCAAGGCCATCACAGGGTGTGATCAGCGTTACAGCAAAGGAGTAAATTGGCTCTCCTGAGCCCTTCTTCACCACCTGCACAGTGATGGAGGTACCTCTGGCACTTAAGCAGCCAGAGATCAGGAACAGGGCTCCTTCTCAGGCAGGGAGTTGGTTGATGTTTTGGGGATTTGGTTGCCATCACGAGAGCCAGCTTCTTTTTGGCAGTTTTTTATTTTCTTCTTGGCAGAGCATGGCCACATGTTGCATTGAATGGATGCTAGAAACCCAGTTCCCCACACAGGATTGCGCTGACAGGGCAATGAGGCAAGCTGCTCTGTGAGACCGAGGGGGAAAGCTTGCTCATCTTGCACCCCTTCTGTCGACAGCTAAAAAGCCCCATCTCAGAAGCTATCGAGGTCACACTATGGTCATTCTGAAGTACTGAGATGCTTTCTGCATGCTTACTAACTACAGTTTAATAGCCAGCTCCTCCTACTACTTAGATATATTTCCAAGTGTCTTGGGGGCTGGCAGAATTAGTGGCGCTTGGAAGCACAGTAGGCAGCTGTGCCGCCATCTGAGTAAATCCCACAGGCAAAGTCCTGCCCTGTCATTCTGCTTTCATTCACAATAGTGTGTGACATGGAAACATGTCTCTTGACCAGCTGAGATAGCACTAAGTCACTTTTACTAGACCCTAAGAGGTGAGACACTGCTGGTTTACCACGATTAAGCTGCTGCACATCAGCAGAGCCGTGTTAACTTTCCACAGACACATTGTGTTGAACAACATGAACTTGTTCAACCTTGCTTAGTCTGTGGTAAACGACAGCTGAAATAACTCTCATTCTCTTGTCCATGTTGTGAGCCAAGAGTACCCATGGGGACAGCTACCACAGCTACTCACTTGACCACAGTACCTTGGCCGTAGGCTTGAGCACTAAATTCACGATGAGCAGTTTGGTTGTCCACTCTACGTCAGCCATGGAGGGGCAGAGCTTGAGTGGGTAAGGCAGACATTGCAACAGTCAGTTATCAAGACTGTGCACATTAGTTTCCTCTGAAATTAGAGCTGTCATGGTAATCTTGTACTGGTAAAAGAAGCGTAACACCATAGAGCAGCTCTGGGTCAGGAGTAGCACAAGCTCTGTGCTGCTGAACTCTCCTCTCTCCAAATATTTTTCAGGAGGTCTAGTTCTTTTGCTAGAAACCCCATTGCCTCCTCTTCTCAGGTGCAGTGGAAAACCTGTGTTCAGAGAATTTTGGTGCACTCAGAGTCAGTTTTCATCTTGCCTTAACTTTGCCCCAAATATGAATATAGCAATGGTGGTCCAAAAATTTCCCACCTTAACGGACACCCCTAGACACCATTAACAATTTCACATACAAATGTGGCTGTGCAGGTCATAAATACTGACTTCTCTTGGTCACTTTTCTATATCCCTGGAGGCTGTGAACTATTCCTTGGGCCTTTGGACCACAGGTCAAAAAATGTGTCTGATACAGCTTTTGTACCATATATTGCGTCTGGGAGAGTACTGGTGTGACTCTCATTACAGTGGGACTGAACATCTGATTGCCACTAAGGGATTTCAACTTCACAACATCCTGCCTGCAGAGGACAATTCTATTTTACCGATAGGGAAGGGAGGCACACCTAAGTTGTTGGGGGTCATATAGGAAATCTGTGAACAAATAAGAAACTGGCCTCAGCTCATCTCTTAAGTCCCAGGCTGGTTTCCTACTCACCTGCCCATTCTTCCTAAGAGATATTATGACCCCTGTTGCAAATGTCTTGGCAATCCAGCTCTTAGGGTCTGTACAGCACTCTGAGTGTGCGAAGTGCAGTACATGAGCAAGTTCTGTAACAATCCAGTCCTACATGAGATACTGACAACTTGGGATGAAAATTAATGAGTCTTTACATATATATAGGACAACTCTGATTTGAGCTAAATTAGTTTTGTTAGTGAATATTTTAGACCCTGGCTTGTTCTTAACAAAGACTGAGTTAGTGGTTGAAAAGGGCTATATATAACAAAAGTGTGTCCTGGTTTTGCAAAAACTGACTGCTAAGCAGGAAGTTGCCACATTGTTTAGTCCAATCAAGCCAACTAAAGCTGAAAGCTTGGGATGGCAGCTGTTGAAGTATTTCCTTTACAGGGAGCATAACTCAGTAAGTACTGAACAATTAGATATAGCCATTCTTACCTAAGTTAGTGGTATATTACTCCATTGGTTTCAGAGGGTTTACTTCTTACTTGAGGAAGTATTCTTCCTCAGGGAAGGCCAGAATTTGTCTCCTTGTCTTTGGGCATAGAGTGGCTCTTGAGAAAAAGGTAGATAATGCATAGATCAAAAGCACAAGGTACTGAAGTGACTGGCTGGACTGGAGGTGGTAGAAGAATAAAAACCAAAAAGATACCAAGTTTATAGCCTGGGACAGCAGACCAGGCTTTCTCACCGGACTGCTGGCCAGGCATTTTTTGCCTCAGTGCCTGTAACACAAGGTTGATTATACTGAACTTTCTTTCCAGCTCTAAGATCTCTAATCCAAAATCTGTAAATCATCATAGAATCATAGAATGGCCTGGGTTGAAAAGGACCTTAAAGATCATCTAGTTTCAACCCCCCTGCTGTGGGCAGGGTTGCCAACTATGAGAGCAGGCTGCCCAGCCTGGTCTTGAATGCCTCCAGGGATGGGGCTGTCAGGTTACACCATGCAGTAGGTATGCAGGTATTGTAGATAACACAGCTCAAGGTGGTAAGAAAAGCACAGGTCTACCAACATCAATGCACCTTCATTAGGGAGCTCTGTTTCTGAATCCAGATAATTAAGAGCAGAATAAAGCCTGTACAGCTTTACAAGCATTGCCTATAGGAAGGATCCCTGATGTCCTCTCTTGTGATGCCCTGCTTAGAAAACTCCGCTCCACCCAGCTTAGCTCGTGGGTTTCAAGGAGCTCACAGCCCAGCTGTGATGCTTCCCAATCATACTGCGTTGCAACCTCTTCTCTATGCTTCCTGCAGGGAACTGCATGAGTGAGTTCATGGGGCTCATCAAAGGCCACTATGAAGCAAAGGAAGAAGGCTTCCAGCCTGGAGGGGCCAGCTTGCACAGCATGATGACTCCTCACGGGCCAGATGCTGACTGTTTTGAGAAGGCAAGCAAAGCCAAGCTGGAGCCTGAGAGGGTTGCAGAAGGGACCATGGTAAGGAGCCACAGAAACCAGTAAGATTTCTGCCACTCTCAAAGTACCACCTAGCTTCTTGATGGCAAGTTGGAAAAGTACTTAGACCAAACTGCTGCAGCATTTACCTCCTTTACTGATCAGCACCAGGGGCTCCCCTGGAGACATGCGATGCCAGGCAGCTTTGATCATCTGCCCACATAAATTGTTGCCTGAGCAGGAAGCTGGGAATTTTCATGCTGATTAATTTAATTTTTGTCTTAGCCTATGGACAAAGAAGCGAAACCCGTGACTGTCCTCATTTCTCCACCCCCTAAAATCTAATGATTAACAGACTGTGAACTAGAGCTTTTGGAACAACTTGGCCTTCCTGCTCATGCACGGAGTCCAAAGTCACTCCTGAGACCTGGTTAATACCAGCTTTGAAATGCCAGCTCTGAAGAGCCTTCTCCTCCTGGGCTGATCAGGCCAGAGGCAGAACTTGGCGGTGCTGGACCATGTGTGCAACTCCTGTTTGTGGCAGAGCAGAGCCACCTTGCCTGGGTGCAAACCCTTGCCCTCTTGCCCTAACCTACCTTCCCTTTTCCCAACAGGCCTTCATGTTCGAATCATCCCTCAGTCTGGCCGTCACCAAGTGGGGTCTCCAGACCTCCAACTGCCTAGATAAAAACTACTACAAGTGCTGGGAACCTCTGAAAAGCCATTTCAACCCTAGGTGCAAGTAAAGAGAAATATTTGTTGCTTGTAATACATGAATGAAGGCAGGGAAATCCAGCATACCTACACGTGGTGGCAGTCGACTTGGGCAACGCATGGTGCTCCAGCACAGAACGGCATGTCCAGCAGCCACTGAGCCACAAAAATGATCATGCCTATGTAACTTGGGAAATGCAGTAAAAAACACCACTGTTCTTACCTTTCAACTACCCAATTAAATCTTTCCTGGTGACAAGCTGAAGCTGAAGTACTTGCATTGCTCTCACCACGGGTAGTTGGTGTGATGCCATACCTTGTGTAGACAGGATGGGACAGTGAGACCCCGGTCACAGGGCCTCCTGAAAATATGACCTGGTGTGTCTTTCAAAGGGAAGATAGTGGGGATCAACAAAGCATTTTATGCTGTCTGCAGGGGAAGAGCTTTCCAAACAGAGCTGAGAGCTCTAGCAGACCTAAACCTCTTATTAGAGCAGGCCACTTCAACCTGCTGATCTGTGGAGGGTTGCCAAGGAAAGACTTTATTGCCAGAAAAGTAGACCACAAATTGGAAAATGTTGGAGAATCCAAAGTGCTTTGCTGCTAAGTGAGAGAGTTTCCATTCCAACCCCACGCTCTGGTCATCTTTCAACATTGACTTGTCAGCACTTGACAAATTCTCTCCCTAGTTAGGTGCTAATTTGCAGCATTGCAAATACAAAAGGGTTTGTCTGGCCAGTCCAGGCTTTGTTCCTGGGAAGGTACCTGGAATAAAGGTCAAGTGCAGACAACACCACGGAGGACCTCAAAAATCATGGGCGTATGCAAGCCTCACCCCCAGGTGGTGAGTTCCACAGGGTGGAGGCAGAAAGCGAAGCCCCGAGGAGGCTGGGAACCAGGAGCTTAGCCCCGGCGCCCCAAACCTCAAGCCTACGCTTTAGCATGTACCCACATGAAACAGTTACCAAGCCTGGTGCCATAAGGATCCATGTTTCCTGCTTCCCAAGAGAAACAATCCTCTGTTTTCCAAAAGAGAAGGAAATGTAGAGCTGCAACACCTGACTTCAGTCAGTTACATCCATCATTGGTTTTGCATTTGCACCAGATTCTTGGGGGTTGAAAAAAGGCACCAGCTTTGAGCACAGTATTACATTATAAAATCTGCAGGGAGATGTTTTCTCTAAAATAGCCAACTCAGAAAAGGACGTTCAGGAGAATCAATTTGCCAGAGAAGCTGCTTTAATCAGACTGATCCAGGGCTAAATGAGGTCTAAATGTTTCACAGGCAGGGGTGAAACGCTTATTTTCTGTTCAGGACCTCAATTGTCACCCAGTGACCTGCAGCTTGAGTTTCTCTTGCTATAGACTCATCTCTGAAGCAGACGCAGCTGGTAACACATCAGCCAAGGGTAAAATTTCATGAGGCACATTCACTTTCCTGCCTTCACCTTACATTTCTGAAGGGAAACTCCCCTTTCCTTCCTCTACACACCCAGCACCACTGCCTCAAACCACCAACCCCACCTCTCAGTAGCATAGCACGTTCCTTGCAAGAAAACAGCTTTGAGAGTTCTGCAAGTAACAAGAGAAAAGTAGGGCAGCCTTTCCCCAAGGACCACGCTCAAATCCACAGGGACATAGCATCAGACACTCTCATCTGCAAAGGAAAGGGCTGTGGCAGGTGCCGCAAGCATCAATCCAAGGCTGGCCTAAAAGACTAGAGGTGCTGAGCTCAGCTACAACCCATCCCGAACCATTTGCTCAACTGGCCTGAAATAAATACAGCTGCAAGGGAGAATTTACATGTGTGGCAACTGAAGTTCCAATTAGCTGAGGAAATGGGTCCTGGGAGATCAAATTAGTTTGTGGCAGCAGGAAGATAGTTAATTTAGCAAGCTCAGACAAGCAATTATTTCTTTCC